ACTGAGTAACATTAAACATTTAAGCAAGGCTGGTAATTTTGAGTGCAAAGGCTCAGTTCGTTTTTCTCTCTGGCGTATACATCAGAACACTGTGTTTGCATTTGGGGGATGCTGAGTAGGATACACAGAAGGAAAAACATGATAGGAAAATAGATCAATGTGTAATGGCTGTGTGGAACAGACTGAAGAATAATGTACAGAATTGCTTTACTTACCTCATGGTGGGAAAAAAGTCAATTCTCTTTCTGAACTGGGGTGTTTAGTTGCCTTCTGTTACAGATCTGTGGCTCTATGCACTTACTAGGTTTAGGACACTATTTTTTTTCTAACATCTTAGTTACTTAACAAAGAATTGCTGATAAAATTTGCATTGCTTGTAAAGCTTCCACTCAGTTTTAGTCTTTATCCATTCTCTGGTGCACCTAGGGGAATTAGTGACTAAGCTTCATCACCAGTTCTGAGGCTGAATTTAGCTCCAGTGAGATGCTCTGTTCACAGTCCACAGCAGTGAAGTTTTGGCAGAAGGTAGAAAGATTTGCCATCTGAGGAAGCCCACCAACAGGAGCCGTGGCCGGAAGATGATCAGATAGCATGTCAGTCTTATCTTCCTGTTGGCGGGCAGAGTCAGCCATGGCTTTTGATGGTGCCTTAACAAACTCCTGAGCAGGAATAATCTCTTAGTGTAGGAATTTTGCCGGTCAGTTTGTTCTTTTCTATGACAAAACTTCTCCAAAACCTGTGGCAAGCTCATTGCCAGTCTTCAGAAGTCTCCTTGAGTAAACAAGATTCTGCACCGTTATCTGTTATCTTCATGCTAGTAACCACAGGCAGTCTCCTGAAAAGGAAGCATGAGCTGTTGCCAGTTTCCATTTACAGTTGCTGTTTCTGGAATATATTCCCTTCTCGTGTTTTAATTCTCCAAGGTTTTCTGAAGCAAGTATCCCTCTGACTAAAAGAACTACTGAACTTCTGAAAAAATGCAAGAGAGTGCTGAGTAGAATAATGAAAATGTATTTGTGAACTCCTCGAACCTACTTATGCTGACAGGCTTACTGACACACAGTTGCTTTTCTTGTTTCAAAAATACTTGATTATTACAAATTATTGTAAAAGTTAGTACATCTTAAATTATAATGGTTAGCTTCAACTAACAATGCTTAGAAACACTGCGGGGTCTGCTAACTGCTACTTTATTGTGTAGGTCTTCCTTGAAGTTGTGGGTATTATTCCATGCCAGTATATCTGCATGTCTGTATGTGATGGGGGGGAAGCAGTGCAGCAAGGGGGCTGACATGGTTGCAGTGACTTTTTGTGTAATCAAAGAGCTCATCTCCTTCTCTTCTTTATTGCAGTTTCACATTCTTAGAATGTCCCTCTGTTTCTTGAAGATGAAGAAAATTAATGCATGCTTCTTTCTCCTGTTTGGACATACTCTGCTTTCCACTGTCTCTGTCATGGCAAAAGACCTCCCTGGAGGACATTTCAACCAAAGAAGGGATGTTAACTCACAATCTCTACTAGGTAAGTTACAAAAAAACCCCCACAAAACCCAAACACCACCACCAAAGGCCATCTGGAATGAAAATGATAAAAAGACTTCAGCAGCTGGTCAAACCTTGACTGAGTTAGTTTACAATAAAAAGGAAATTGCCATTTGCAAGCGGGAATATGACAGACTTTGTTGACCAGTTAGCAGCTGTTGAGAGATGGTATTTACTTTTGGGGTCCTAGATCTACTTTCTGTAAGTGGTATGAAATAAATATTTGCTACAGGGTTGTTGTCTTGGAGAAAAGACCTTATGTTCACTGCTTAGAGAAAAGACATATTGGCCCATGGAGCTTCTGTCAAAGCTGCCTTTTACCATGCCAGGGAGTTTTAGCTGTCTGTATATATGTGCTGTGTGTAAGGATGATTTAATGAAAATTAGTGGCTATCGAAACAAAGCTTATCATGACATTACTTAGTGTTAATCCCTTCATTTTTTCAGGTTCATATTATTTATAATAAGGAGCTCATTTTTCCTCTTTGGCCAAAAATATGAAGACAAGATCTAGCAGTTTTAGCTTGTGACTGTCATATTTTGAAACATAAGGTTCATCTCTCTCTGGGTGATCATTGCCTGTACATCATCAGGCAGTTTGCTGGTCAACCTTTTAATCTGCTAACAGTTTGTGACTTAGAATAATTTTCTTTTGCTCATTGTTTAAAGTACTGGTCAGATTATAAAAACATAGCATCGACAGGGTTTGGACATGACCCATCACTAGGTATTCATGATACACATTAATAGTAGAACTAGTCAGATATCTCTCTTTAGCCACTGGGAGATGTTAAGTGGCCTCCCCATCCAGGTGACATAACATAGGTGAACATGAGGAATGTGAAATATCCTGCAGAAGATGTATTAGGAAGAAAGAACAAGAAACAAAGCAGAATGGGTGACAGAGGGGAGCAACAAGTTTTATTAGTGTCACTCTTCTCCAAACTAAACATATTCTTTAAGTATGTAAAATTCTATGAAGTATCATTCACAAACTGTCCTTTGTTAACATAAAAACATTAGGTTTTGGTTCCTCTAGAACAGATTTAGGTCAAATGACAAAATCAAAAAGGATGGATATGAAACAGCAAAGAGAAATACCCACATTCACACCTTACTCTGCAGGACTCTCAAACTTTCTAGAATCCTAAATTCTAAAATGTGATTCAATAGCAGCACCTCCTGAATGTTTTAGGGTCCCCAGCAAATACCTTGAGTCAGCTTATTTAAGAAATAAACTACCTATCTCTCTAGAAAATAAACAAAATAGCAAGGTGTTACGTGGAGGAACTAAAAAGGTTTCACATATCTCAGCTTGCCTTTTTCCCTTATGATTTTTCAAATCGCTTTTATATCCTCTTTTTAAAATTTTAAGTAGTGGGAAACATGTTAAAAGAATTTATTTATTTACTTTATTTATTTATTTATTTATTTATTTATTCTTTCAAAAGCCAAATGATTTTTGTTCTCTGCATTTGGAAAATTCTGGATACCTATTCAATTTGACATGTGTGGGATGCAAACAATTCTGGCAGCTCTGGCTGAAGGAACCTTTTCAAGACATTAAATGATGCAAGAAACTTGGGACATTCTGTGGTCCAGCCCATAAAAGTACGTGGCAGTTTGGAGTCAGACTCTCAGGCCTTGCACTCTGTTACAATAAATTAGGTCACCTGCTTCAAATTCAGCAGTGCATATAAACAGTGGCATGGCTAAAATGTGCCTCTGTGTAAAGAACAGAATGTGTAAAATGCATGCCAGTCTGCTGGGAAGCTGTGGTGTTCCTTAAATGACATGAGAAAGAATGGGGCCAAACCATTATGACAGTGGCATCAAGTATTTTGACTTAATAAAATCACTCCAGGTTGAAGCAATTTAACAGGGATTAGAAGCTGTCTCATTTTATATAATATGTGTATTATAAATAGTAGAGGTGATGACAATTGCTGCTCTTGTGGAAAGACTTAGCTGGCAGGCAAAAGTGAGCAATATAGCTTCAAAGAACCAACAGATACCTGGAAAAGCAATAAAAGTTCTGGTTGGATTTCTTTTTTCAGGTGGAGATATGTATGTTTTTAGGGAAGGATTATGCCATGTAAATATTAGTAGCATTAAAATAATGTTACTCCTTTTTTCTTAATTTTACCAGTTTTTAAAACAAAAGTGTACTGCTGTGATAACTGTTGACTGTTAAAATCCTAGTAGTGGGCACATACAGAAGTATAAGTCCTTGCTCCAGGAAACTGACAACACAGATAAGCAAAATGGAATGGAGTAAAAATCCTGTGAGATTGTCCACATAGAGATAAAAGTACTTTGGGATCCAGCTTTAGGAGGATTTAATTTTTTTGGCAGCCATATGCTAATACTTCCTAGGTTTCTTAATTGTTTTGTTAGGGCTAGTAGCCTGTAGGTTTTAACAAAAGTTTCAGAAGAGATGAGCTATATCTTTTCTATGTTTTTCTTATCCCCAGTCTTTCTGCTGAACTTTGATGTGTGTTGTTTTAATTTGGGAGAACTTTGCATCACTTATTGCTGTTAAAGTAATTATTGCTATATTATAGTAATTTCCATTAAAGATGTGAAATCTTTTGAATCATTTGGACAGTTCTTTGGGGCTTTCTCAAGGTGGATCTTGAAAGCCAAACTGCTTTGAATAGGAGTGGCTTTGCAGTTTATTTCTTTCTTTAAACACTGAATCAAACTTCAGAGTTTATAACTTGTCAATTGTTCCAATTTAGTTAATTTTGTTACCATTTTCTTATATCCTTCCAATGTATTTGTTGTAGGGCATGTGTAGCTGCCTTAGAGATAGAAAATATACATTTATCTCTCATAATAACAGAATTTGTATTAGATTGCTGGAAAATATTCTTTTAATGTGGGTGTGTTTATGTTTTAAAGGATCACTTCCATAACCCTGCAAGATCTTGTGAAATAACAGAAAGAAACAGGTTGGTCTGTTTGTCTTCCCTGTAGCAGAGTGGTTGTCTCTCCTCTTATGTACAAACTAAATTTCTCTTTCTCTTTCCCCTCGTCAGTAATTTGATCCTGAGTATTGGATCTCTGGCCTTATCCTGTTTCCTTAAAGGAAATTAATCTTTTGATTTAGAATCTTCCCTTTTAAAGGCTTTACCAGAGCTCTAGAGTTGTTACTTAGCTGCTGTCTGATGAAACCATTTCTCTTGCTGAGTGCAGCTGCTTTGTTCAATTACACACCGGTCACTGAAAGCACTGTTTGCCAGCTTAGTGTTGCTTTTTGGATACTAAAGAAAAGCAGTAATGGAAATAAACTTGAGATACATGGATTTAAAGATAAAATTATGTCTGCTACATTAGTTAATTCCCTTCAGATAAAACTGAAATGGACTTCTGCACCTAAACAGACTGACCAAGAGCCAAGTCAGTTGCCCAGAGTGTTGATTTCCATACTGTGATTTCAAGGCCATAGTCAGAGGTCCACAACACCTTTCAGCAGGTTCCATGTTCACAAAATACATGAGTCTAGTCCTTGTAAATTGTACCTTTTTTTTAGTGATTGATGTTGTGGGATTTTTTGGTGGAGGTGATTTGGGACTTAACACCCTCTACTGCATCTTAATCATTTATTATAAAACAAAGCAAGATTTCAACATTGTGGTAAAAACACGATTTTTTGTATTAGGTTTTTTTGTTGTGGATTTTTTTGTTTTGGTTTGTTTTTTTCTTGGTGAACTCTGTTCTTGTAAACTGGACATCTATTTGTTGTCACATGGGCATATTTCTTTGGAGAACTCTGAAGTGGATGCATGGGAATAATTGAATAAGCTGTAGAATAATATTCTAAGCAATAAAATTCCTTATTTTCCTTAGGAGTATAAAATATGCACCTACCTGTTTCTGAAAATAACTACTTATATGAGTTGAACTGCTGAATTAGGAGGCAGTGCTTTAGCTACTACATGATACCAAAAAAAGAAACTACAAGAGGTTAACTGATACTGCACAAATTTGAAACAGAGAGGGGAGTGGAGGCCAAGAAGGAAATGTACTTGGCTCCTGTTCAGTAGAAACTTCTGCTAAATGCAAATGTCCCTGTCTGTCTTAAATTATATTCTGCAACAAAATATATAATGATTTATCTCTTGGTTTTATAGATATGATTCCTCTGATAATATGAAGGGAAGTAATATGAAGTACATAGAGTGCTCGCTGAATTTATGGATCACTTGCTACAGTCATTTAAAATTATTCCAAGCATTTTTATATCCAACCCAGTTCTTAAACTTGTGTGTATGTAACTTTAGGGCTCATGGACATTTTTAGGCTAACCATTCTGGGTTAAATGTGGATTGCTGAACCAACATGTGATGATAACTGCTGTAAGAAGCTCCTCCCAGCCTCATCATCTGTGTGTATGTGTTACTTCTTCACTACAAAGCAGCCAAGGTTTTTTTGTCCTCACGTGAAATAGACTCATTGCAACTGATGTCTGCATTGCAATTAAAGTCAGAATGATTTCATTATAACTACAGTGTATATTTGACATACTAGGCTAGTATAGTATCTGGGGAGATCAAAACTGTTCCAGGCATTAGGTAAAGGTAGGAAGAAGTTGCAAATTACAGCTTTTTAATCATCATGTATTTGGTTAAAATATAAGCAAAATCCTAACAAAACTTTTATAAGGACACAAGTTAATCAATTACACATCAATTTAGTCTCTCTCTAATCAAACCATCAAATTGCCATATAAATAGACATGTGTCAGATTTGGAAAGATAGAGAGCAAATCATTTTACAGTCTTGTGAAGTCAACTGTTTCTTCCTTCTGAGGTGTGCAGGTGTATCTTACAATTGTGCCTCAAGGCACAATTAGCAATTGCAGGCTTTGCTTCCTGGTGGTGGTTGTCTCAATAGCTAAGAGGTCTCCCATGGACTTTATGCAAAGCCTGGAAACTTTGGTTTTGTCTCAATCTCTCAGCTGTCGGCCTCTCCCCT